CAGAGCACCTGGCTAACACCATCTGTATTAGGAAGGACTGGCTCATATATAATTATATTGAAATAAATGAGTTATTTGACATTATAGAATACCTGGAGTTGACATCAGAGCACCTGGCTAACACCATCTGTATCAGGAAAGACTGGCTCAGGTACACTGCATGGTCTGCATGGACTGAGTCTGGAATAAAAATAACAAGAGTTGGGGTTCCAAATTCTTCATAATTATTCCCCTTTTAAATGCTTGAGTAGGTACCATATTCCCCTCCCACTACCTAGTTAATTCTATTATAATTAATTTACCATTCTGAAACAAAATCCGAGTTGGAGTTCCAAATAATTCTTCTTCTTCCACTATCTGAAAAATTCTCTCTTTTTATTATTATTATTTCATTCTTAAACAAAATCGGACTTGATAAATTCAATTACTATAACCTGCACACTTCTCTTTTTCCCATTTATAGCAAAATCGGTTGAAAATCTATTACTTTTATTCTACACATTTTGCCACAATGAAAATTATTTTTTGCCCTTTAAATTCATCTTTACTGATCATTTTTCTTTGTGTGAGAAGTCCATGCTACTCACCATCCTGCTTTCTCTCTGGTTCACTTAGGAGCAGTGTGACTATCTCCAGGGCAAACACTCTGTAACTGATCTGTGAAAGGGAAAATTTCTTAGTATTCATTTCAAATCAATATTGAAATATTTAAAAACCTCTTGTTATTAATGACCTTGAAAAAGCTACTAAAACTGTACAAAATCCGACTAGGTACGTCTTACATAAGCAGGGAGTGAGAAGTGAGAGAAGAGGGAGGAGGGAGGGAGAGAAGAGAGAAGAATAAGGAAAGAGTTGTGAGGACAAGTGAGGAAGGGGGTGGGAAGGAGAAGTGAGGAATGGACGAGTGAGGAATGAAGGGAGGTGTTTGAAGGAGAGGAGTGAGAAAAGGCGGAGGAAGTAGAAGTGAGGGTAGGAATGAGGGGAACAGATAGAAGATGGCAGTGGTAGGGAGGGATAAGAGGAGTAGGAGGGGGAAATGGAGTGAAGATTAGAGAAGAAGGGGGTTGGGAGGGAGGAGTGGATAGTGAGTATTAAAGAGTAAAATGTCAGACTTCCTCACCTTGGCATGTCTGGAGTATCTGTAGATCCACTCCATCATCCTGGCATAGGCAGAGTTTGGCAGCTCTTGGAGTAGTGTCACCACAGCCTGGAGAGTTAACAGATACTTAAAGTTCAAAAGGGGACAACAAATAACTAGAAAAAGAATTGTTAAGCAAAAGTAAATAACCTTTTGTAATTGTGCCATTTGGACTGCTCTAAAACATGATGCAATGAATTTTCTTCATCTCTTATGTAATGATGATAAAACAGCAAATTGTTTCTAAAGAGATTAAAAGTTCTTTCTATGAGGCATGACATTTTGCAATGCTCTAAAATAGTCCAAAAATAAATTTCTTGGTGTTGTTTTTTCTCTAAAATAGATTTCTATCAATCATAAGTCATATTGGAATTGCTAGTAAGTATCACAATAAGTGATAATCTGGTCTAATATTGGTATGAAGTTATTAAAAAACAGTCACCTGTGCCACTTTGGCTCTGTACTCAGCTCTATCTGGGACCTTGGTACACATGTGCTGTAGCAGAATTCTGGCACTGGCTGCAGCAGCTTCTGGCTTGGTACGCAACAGGTGACTATGAAAATATGGTACAGGATTGTACATGTGAATTTCTCAATTTTTTCTCAAAAACAAATAAAAAGAATGATAAAAAATAAAAGAAAAAAGAAAAAGTTGAAAGACATGGTCACATTAATGTAATAACAATAAATTAATAAAATAAACAAATAATTAAAAAAATTAATAAATAAGTAGAAATTCAAATAAAAAAAAGGAAAAAACCTCAGGCAAAATGTCATCTAGCCAAAAAGAAGTCATCATGCTGCATTTCTGAAAACATGCCAATCTCACTCACTATGTTTAAATTTCTATCATTTTTAACAAGTAAGTACACATATAATATTAAATTCAATAAAAGAAATTCTATCTCATGCAAATGAGAAATTGTCACAGCAAAAAGTGTTAAATACATTTGCGTATATTCCATTCCTTTTGTCGTTTCTTACCAAACAAATGCCAGAGCATTATCCTTGATGGTCTGTATATCCCTGGGGATGGCCTGTGCTGCCACGCCCTTCCCATCCCCTATCAACATCAAGATACTGGGAAGAAGATACTTGAAGGCCTGAAATAATGGAAGACAGCCTTTAAATTAAACTTTTTCCTAACAAATATCTTTGGATCTTAATGTACTTCCTTCTAGATTATCACAGTCTTTATTTTAATAAATTTATGACAGATTTTATGAAAAAGTTAAAAATTAAATCTAAAAATCTTAAAATGTGTAAAAGTATTCTTAAAGATATGGAAATAGATTTACAAATAGAAGAAAGTTCAAGTCAACTTACAGTGGTGATCATAACATTGATGTCACCATGAGAAGCTGAACACAGACAGTCCATACCCTAGAAAACATTTTATAGAAAATACAGCAAAACCAATAAGGTTTAAAAAATCATATCAAATAAAATTCTACATTTCTATCCTTTTTTTGCTACCAAAAAATATCACATTCAAAACAATGAAACAGGGTAAACAAAAAAAAATGAAATACAAAATCACCCTTACAGTTTATAATAAAGCTGAGTGCAAAAGAACTCTGCCTTTAAGTACCAATATAAGCATTTGAAGAAAAAAGTCCTTAAAATTATATTTTAGATTAAACTGAGAGGGAAAAGTTAAAGTTAGCAACTCCTTTTGCATATTACACCCCAGATCCAAAATTAAAACAACCGTTGGCACATTGTAAAGGTGAATAAAAGTATTATGAATGAAGGTCAACATTATGTATTCCTCATTCCATTCTTTTCTCCAAACTCTTTTGTAAGAAACCCCATTTCTGAGGCATGAATAGGACAATACAGAGGATACAAAGGTGTATTGAATAAAAGCGCTAAGGGAAACCTCTCAGTTTTGAATGCCAACTGAGGGGTGTAAATTACACGTCCGTTTCCCTTAGCACAAGAGTAAACCATATTTGGCATACATTTGAAATTTAGGTAGAAAACAGTATATATATACAGCTACTGTGCCTTGGCCTTTTTATCTTTGATATCTCTTATATCTTTAACATCTTGGAGATTACCTGGATCACAAGGTGAGGGACTTTTAATTTAAACAACATTAAAAACTACTTAATTTCCTGTAATTACATAAACAGCCAAAATTACTGAGAAGAAGATATAATACTAGTCAACCATTTGTAGGTAAGGTCCTGTTACAGTTCTCTGTTCTCTAACAGGAAATATAGTCCTTCAAAAGGTATATGTCTCATTCTGGACAGAAGAAACAAGTGCAAATACTGACTTTCTGAAGAACTATAGGCAGTTGACCAAAATAAATATGGAAGCGTGGCGAATAAAAGGGAGCCCATTACTATACCCCCACAGGGTATAAGTTGTTTCCCTTCAAATAGTAAAACAGGGGCAGATTGAGGCCGTCTTCTGGGTCTTCCGGAAGACAGATTTTAAAGTTTAAATTGATTGGTATCTAATTATTTCTGTAGATCAAGAAAGATAGTTTGGAAGACTGTCAGAAAATATCTCTGGATCCCCTCTGTAAAATGACTGACAATGCAAATAATTTTTACAGATCGTTAATTCTCTAACTTTCATGTTATCAGCAGTAAATTTAATGCCTTTTTTATTTCAGTTGCTGCCCAAAATACAATCTTATGCATGAACAAAACAGAGGAAGACCACACAATTCTCTTTGATGAAATATTCTTGAAGAGCATCGCCTCTAAGATAGCCAACGAGTGGGACACCTTGGCCCCTCAATTTGGTTTCAGCAAAAAGAAAGTGAAAGAAATCAGAAGAGACAATCCAGCAGACAACATCCGGCAGTGTCAGGTGATGCTGGTCAACTGGGCAAGACACAACTTCTCAAGTGACGCCAATAAATCTGAGAAACTGACAGAGATTCTATTATCTCTTGACAGGAGTGATCTGGTGTCAGAGTTACATGAGAAAGAAAGAATATGGCTCAGCTTTATCTGAAAAATTCTTCAGAAGTTGCAGAGACATGTAGACCAAGGAGATATTTGACAGGCCTAGCAGTCTGGCTAAACCTTTGTGTTGAGGTGACTTAAATATTGTCCTGTTACAAAAAAATACAATCTTAGCAGCAAAAGAAATGGTAACTGAATCCTGTGCCCAACTTTAGGCGATATTTATATATACTTCATTTGCATTGATCTGTATAATGACTGTATCATAATGTTAAGTATGTGATCAGTGAACAGAAGCAATCTTCAGTGTAATACAATGGTTCAGGGCATTGTGAGGTGCAATATTCAGGGACAAATGTATTCTGCAGTATATCAGACAACCAGAAATGGAGATCAGTATTATGCCATATTTTGCCAAAATGTATTTCTAAGACAACTTGGATTTATTGATGCAATAAATTTAATTACAAGAGTAAAAACAACCAACTTAGGACCACTTATTCACAATCACATGCATAAATTATAAGGGAGTATTTGCCATAGCTAAAATATTTCATCTTAATAATATGGAAAAATTGTTGAAAACATCTTCAGGACTTCTGCATTCATTTTGTCTACTGAATGACGAAGGGTAAATAAACATCTTTTCATTAAAATCTTTTTTTTCTTTTTTTTTTTTGTTTTGAAAGACACATACAAGAATAACAGATGTCATTGTACAACTCACCATAAAAGCCAGCTTGGATATGGAGTGGACTCTGTTGACATCACTGAAATAAAATACAAGATTTTCATTATTGAAGTTTACCAGCCTCACTGACCATGTGACAAATATTTATTGACCTCTTGATCCAATTGAGATAGCAGTCACCAAATTCAAGCCTTTTTTCTGTAATACTGCTTCACATTGAGTCAAAAGACAGTGTATATAAGGAATTAATTAAAGATGCATACAAAGTCAATTTTTTGTCACAAAAACNCGTGTTTACAAGGAAAGTGCACAGCATCGGCGACGGCATAGGCATAGGCATCGGCATCGGCGACGACAGACGCAGGTGATGGCAATATGTACAGACACATCTGTGTCTGTACATAAAAAAAGTTATATTAATTCTAAATTTACTGTTATGCCATGTAGTGTAAAATGTAGTTAAAAGGTATAATTACAAATGTCAGGACTAAGCGCAACCAAACTGCTAGGAAGTATATTGATTGACCTGGTACTTACAACTTCTACTCAGGTAAGGGACAACTTTAACACTGATAAAACACCAATCTAAACTGTTATCGCTTCTCATTTCAATTTGCCAAATTACATGCAATTCATAAATCAATGAATCGTTTTCCAAATACCTTGTTCTCTGGAAGGGGTTTCCAGTTTGTCTGGGTCATAATATTTTAAGTACAGAAATACAGGCCAGAATATTTGTGTGCATGGGAACCTTATAATCTACATAAAAGTGGAAAATTTGTTTATTGAGAACCCTCCAAACTTTCCCTGCTTACCCTAAGTAAAGAGAGCAGGCAGCTCCTCAGTTTTGTTATTTCCTGGGGAGTGAGAATCCCTTCATCTTCATCCTCATCCTCATCTTCTCCTACACCAAAATCCTACAAGGTAATAATTCAAGGTAGACGATGCAGATTTAATAACAAGATCTATACCAGAGTTCATTACAATCTGATTGAAACAGATTCTGATACAGTAACCCTGTTCCTAACCGACACACTCCATAACAAAGCCACGCTTGGATCAATCTGTGGAGAAATAGAACTTCAAAGTGTAATTTTCAGATGCTTCAGCACCAACTGATATGTAATAATTGTATGCATTTTCTGCAGAATTCTTAATTAATCACAGCAAAATAGATATAACTTATACTTTTACAAGGCACATATGTATATACCCCAACAACTACGATTCCTAAATATCTTTGATCTTACTCTAAAATGACTCCTCTTTCTTCTTCATGTGAAAGACATTAATAGCAGTCAATTGTGAAGAAGACTCATAATAATACAACATCAAAACAACTTCTAAAGTGCCTGCCCCTTACTAGGTGAAAACGCACTATGGTACAACCAAAAGACATGATCATGATAACTACTGTACTTACATCTCCATCTACGTCCTGTTCTGGTTCTTTGGTCGTCTTTCTTGCTTTACCTCTCCTGCCTGCCTGACTGCTACCGACTGGAGATGGCTTCCTCTTCCTTTTGGGGGAGCCTTTAACGACAGAGAGCAATTTCATTTCGAGTTTTACTTACTCCAGGGAGATTAAGGACATCTTTTGTATTAACAGATAAAAGAAAAATGTATAAAGTTAATTCTAATTTTGTGCTCTTTTTGTTAATGTCAAATTTTCTTTTATTTTGTAACTCTAAAAATTAACATTGCATCCTGACTGAAATGATTGCAACTTGACAAAATTAATTCTACTTTTTTCTCCATTCCATAACATTTACCTAGTTGAGTCCAAGACTTGAAGACATCTACCGATTTCTGGAACAACATTGGGTGGAAGATTTTGAATGCTCCACTCCCTGGAAAGAAAATGTTATTAAAAATAAATAAGTAGAATTACGCCTTCAATGAGATGAACCATATATGAAACAGTAAAACCATTTAAAGAAACTTTCAAGAGTTTTTAAAAATTCAAAATTATTCCCCTAACATTGTAGGTAATGCTCTTTATGGAATAGTACAATTCAAGGTATTGCATTACCTGGTATACATATTAAAGTGAAGTAGACATCAGCTGCTGAGATTGCAGCCTCTCTTAGTTGGGCATTTGCCACTCTCTGAAAAATTAATATCAATAGAGAACATATGAATATACTGAATATAGACCTGAGCACACAAAGAGTGCCAAAATACAGAAATGAAAAAAAACTATTATTTTTCATTATGAATATTTATAAAGAGCTAATAGTAAAATTGTTGTGTTGATGAAAGTGGACCTTTTTTTAATAAGAAATATCTTGAAAATGCAAGCACTGAAATAATGCAACTCTCTATAACCGGGTTGAGACTGCCACTTAGTGAAAATGTCAGAAAATATTTCCTGGGGTCCATGGGGCCACTTAGGCAAATGCTATTTTTGGCTCCCAAAAAGTCAGAAATCTGCTGATAGTCAGAGAGATTTTATCTCTTCTATAAAGGAATTGGGGGGGGGCACAATTATACACCCAATACCCAGATTTTCACATAAAAACAGGACTTTCATCGTCATGTGTATGCTGTATCATCACCTACCTTTGACCCTGCTTCTATGATGTAATAAAGAAAAGATACAAAGTTTCTGTGTGGAAGGTCATTCTCCACTAGCACTGTCCAGAAACCTGGCAAGGAAAGAAAGAGCTTATTCATTATTACTTTCCTTTCTTATACAAGCATAACTTATTGTGGATACTGCATAGTACAAAAAAAGAAAAAAGCAGATATCTAATTAAGATAATTAATGTATAATTACTAGTAAATAAAGTATTCAGGCAATTTACAATCACAAAATGTTAAAGTTCTGTCCAGGAGTATATAAGGTACATAGCAAGCAAGCACACACGTCCAATTATTGATATTGATTTAATTGCAATAAAATATTTAAATGAACACAAACAGAAGTGCCAGAGTAGAGTATGATAATTCAATAGAACTGACCCTCCCCTGACTTTCCCTCCTCCCCCAGTGCCCAGGGCTGGAGGATCTTCCTGGTCAACTTCAGGGTCTCCACATGGTACCCACTGCCCTCCAGGCCTTCCTCTGTACTGATAGGCAGTGGGTCGTAGTCTGTGAAGTCTCTCTCCCATACTTCCTTCACCCAATCTGAAAGTTAAGTTAATATGAAGTTACTCAAGTTTAAAACCAATGAATAAGGTTTAGGTCAACTGTGAAATGGAGATTGGTGGTGTGAATCTTCATGTGTTTGTCAGTGTTTGAGGGAGTTGCCTCAGTTTGCGGCCTTACACGCTTACAGTACCCTTACGGCAGCGCAATGGCACCGCTACATAGGAATGTATTAGGCCGCACACTGAAGCTGGGGGAGGGTTGACCACTGGCTATACCACTAATTACTGGACATATCTAGCCTCAAGAGCTTCGAGTCAGTAATTGATTATAAAATATATGTGGCCATCTTTTACATATCGCTTTGATACGAGGGCATTCGGTCTGTATCATTTTAGATTTTAATCGCACTACCGATATCTAGACTGTCAACAATGTTTTCTGTCCTCTCAGACCTGCTGATTGAAACGAAACAATGTTTTTCCTATCAATACTATACGTATGAGTTAATGCTTTTTTTTACCTGTATCCAAGCCAGTAAAATCGAGTGTGGAGAGGCACTCGACTGTTTTCCCTACGTCCGCCATATCGAAAACAACCGCCAAATCAGTAAGAGCTCTTTTCAAAAGGAGAACCAAAATGTATCACTAAGCCTCAACTCCCTTCAATAATTTTTCCACTTTTTGTACAAATCAAAGATCAACAGACTCAATTTTTGAATTTATGATAAAGTATTTATCATAAGCTTTCTGAAACGTTTTACTTTGTTAGCTTATTGCTAATCTTTCTAGTGAAATGATTCTTTGACATGATCCGAGATTAAAATATCTCCCAAACAGGACACAGGCCAGTCAACATGGCACTTTCTCAAGCAAGTAAGAAATCAGTCATTTTCTTAACGTAGAGACACACTAATTTCATGTTTTATTTGTTAATGCTTACTTGTTAACAAGGGCAGTTGATGACATAAATGAAAAATGAAGACGTAACGTAGGTTCATCTGTCTATTTTCATTTGGAGGTGTGTCTGCTTCATCATTCTGTGATTGGTCAGTTCACATTATTTTTAGGTCGAGTTCAAATCCACGTGTATACACACATAGCTTGTCTAAGAGTTAGCGTGCCATCTGTCCATTTGGTGAACTAGAGTGATCCAAATGATATTAATCGGTTGAAAACAAAAACAAGTAAATCAGTTATCAGTTCTTGACAGGCACAATTTTGTTGACAAGCCATGGTACTAGTAAAAGATAATGTTCCAGTTTTTCCAATATGGTTATTTATTTTTTATTAATCAGGGCCAGGCCCGTAGCCAGGGGGTTCTTTTTCTGAAAAAGTGGACCTTTTTCCATAAAAACTTCATGAACCTAGATCAAATTTTACCCAGAGTGGACCTTTTTCCACCAAAAGGGGCGGTTCTTTCGGAACCCCCGAAACCCCCCCCCCCTGGCTACGGGCCTGCAGGCTCAGTCACTTTTAGTCTTTAGAACAATTTAGTGTGATTATAACTGAGTTCCTGAAGGCATGAAGTTTAAACAAGGGTTTTTGTATTTTTTTGTGCTAAAGTAAGAAGTGAAAGTGAGAGAGAAACTTATTTAATTTAGTTCATATTCTTGTGCAATTACCGATAAATATCTGGGAAAAAAATAGACATTGATGGCAAAACTAGAACTGTTTCTGAAATGGTGTGGCATATATAACTACTTAAAGAAGCATATTGTTGAAAGTTTATAGCTTATCCTATAACTCGTGATGTTTTCTTTAGAGAATCTCAGACACTTTCTTAAGACATTTCAAGTCCAGCGAGTCCTGAGTGCCAACACCATTGCTGTGGCAGCAGTTAAAGAAGACCTTGGTAATGTTCTCAGTGAAATCAAAGAGGCTGGTCTCTGGAAACCTGAGAGGATTATTACATCAAAACAAGATTCTGCTATTGAAGTGAAAGGGTCCAAGGGAAAAATTCTGAACTTTTGTGCCAATAATTATTTAGGCCTATCAGTAAGTGAATTCATTACACCCCAGTGATGTTATTTGTTTTTATACACTCTCATATGTGATGGGCTGATATCACATCAGTTTTGATATTTTTGTTCTTCAGGAAATAAATGCCAGGAGCATTCAAACTTAACAATACTGAAACATCTTTTGTAAATAAAGATTGAAGAAGATATTTGTTTTTAAAGAACATTGATAATTTATTTGAGGTGCTAACAAATAAGATATGATAAATCAATTCCTCATATAATAAATGAATGTTTACAGAGTCACCCAGATGTTATAGAAGCAGGCAAGAGAGCCCTTGACAGTCATGGTGCTGGACTTAGCTCCGTCAGATTCATATGTGGAACACAAGTAAGTGCTTTCACCATGGGTTGCTTTCATAAAAGGACTGTTGACTGAAGGTTTATTGCTCCTCCTATAGTTAACTTGCCATACCCAATGATATCTTGCTGGAAAATGTGGCAAGCCTGGTATTTAGGATATGGTGTACAAACTGCAATTTTTTACTTTAAAACCCTTTTTTTCTCTGTTATGACTCCAGGTGGATCAATTAACAGTGGTTTAAGTAAATGAAATTAGACCCTGTTTTAAAAAAAGGAAAAAACCTTGTTTTAGACAAGCAGTTTTTTAAAATTTCATAAGACTACCAGAATTGATCAAAGTAGTCTTTTATTTTATTTTCTGTAGGATCTACACAAGGAACTTGAAGCAAAAATTGCAAAGTTTCATGGCATGGAAGATGCTATTGTGTACGCCAGCTGCTTTGATGCTAATGCAGGTAGTTGAGTCACAGATCAATTGATTTGTGTTTTTTTTATGGATGTATGTTTCATGTGTTTTTTTATATGTTGATGTTTAAGTTACCTCTGACCTTTGTGAATTTTGCCAGTACAAATTAATACAGGCTATCTGTAGGCAAAGTGTATGTCTAAGTTTGCTGAAGACCCACATCTTTTTCAACATACTGGTAGAAGTAGGATGACATGCACCATTTTATGTTCTACAATTTACAGGTTTGTTTGAACAAATTCTGAGTTCTGAGGATGCAGTTCTGTCCGATGCCCTGAATCATGCGTCTATCATTGATGGGATAAGACTTTGCAAAGCTCAGAAGTATCGGTACAATCACATGGACATGGAAGGTTGGTCATGTGACAGCTAGTGTAGTTTGTTACAGTGTATCACTGGATTAGGAGGAGTTGCTAAGGAGATTATTATTTAACTGTTATAATATCTTGAAACAAAAACTGTAGTGATTATATGTAAAATGATACCAGCGTGTCAGATTTACACATACATGACTGTGTACGCTACAGTTAAATACAGTATTATCCACAATTTGTAGTTGATTTATACTACTTTCTTTATGTTTTCTGTAGATCTTGAATCCAAACTAAAGGATGCTCAGAAGTGCAGACTAAGGTTGATAGCCAGTGATGGGGTCTTCAGTATGGACGGGAATGTTACTCCATTAAAGTAGGCTAAGTCATTTTAGTCACACAGTGCATTTTAACTTTGCTGCTTTGATAAAAAAGTAGTTTTTATGATCGAAATTGGGTTATAGAATTATTTGGCTGACTTTGATTTATCTTAATATATTTAAGCCATTCCTTTGTTGGGTGTTTACTGTTTTTAAATCATGACAAGTTTGTGAAATGATTTTGGTTATCTTACAGGGAAATCTGTGATCTTGCAGACAAATATAATGCCTTGGTATTCATTGATGAGTGTCATGCTACAGGCTTCTTTGGCAAAACTGGAAGGTGTGTCTGGAGCTGAATGGTTGTCAGCATTATTACATACTAATTACTAAATACTGTTTTTTTTTTTGTAAATGATAAATAATAGGATTTTACCTGAAACAGGAATTCAGTAATCAGCTTGTAGATATTTGTAGATGTTCTGAGTAGGACTCTTATATTTTCTATACTTATGACATAAATTATATTTTGTGAAAATTTCTGGACCTGCTATATAATTAGTGGTCATTGATTTCCATGAGGTTTTTACAACATATGATAGAAAATAATATCTGTACTCCTCTTAGCAGAGAAATATTCCTTTATAATGTTTATTTTAACTTATCTCTTTGGATATGTCATTTATAAATTTGTCCCAGGTCTGGAAAAATCTATGTATCAGGTTACAAAATACATTTTTAACATACTCACAAATTTCCACATAAACATATTTTTTATTAAATTAATTAATAAGTTAATTAATTTTATTTATATATTTTTTTATCTAGAGGAACTGATGAGTACACGGGCACACAGGGCAGGGTGGATATCATCAACTCCACACTGGGAAAAGCACTGGGAGGGGCATCAGGTAGAACAGTTTCTCGCGTTTTGTAATGAAAACATAATTTTTTTTACTTTATTTCCTTTTGCTCAAAACTGCAAGAAATTTGAAGATGAGGTACACGCCATATTGTAATGTATTATAATTCTTTAATTAACACTGAAAATAATTGATGCTGTCCAATTATGGAAACCAGTTTGTCCATGTCTCTGTTTTTTACACTTACACTTAAGGTGGGTACACGGCTGGACCCAGAGAGTTAACGGAGCTGCTGCGTCAAAGATCACGTCCGTATCTGTTTTCTAATGCATTACCCCCAGCAGTAGTGGCGTGTGCCATCAAGGTAAGCAGTACTCTGCCTGTAGTTAATTAGTTGTATAACTGTGTGATACAGTATATACCCTATGATTCATGTTTATACTATTAGTTACTGCAATAACAGTGTAATATTTAAAAGGTTTGAGTGTCCTTCAATTGGCATGATACGCCTGGCATTCAGTAAGATTTAATCTTGGCCCCTCACTCCCATTCAGTATTTTAATTTGAGACATTGTTTCTAATTTGTTCAAGTTATCAGACTTACCCTGCAACTCAATTTCCATATACATTGCACGTCTCTGGTTGTAGTTGATAAGAGGAATTTTGCTTATATATTATACATATTGGTTAATTTCATGATGTGAAATGTGCTGATTATTTTTATTACTGTGACTCTTGACAGGTACTTGACATGCTTCTTGAAGGAACTAACCTCACTGCCAAGGTGCTGTCTAACACAAAACGTTTTCGCTCCAAGATGACGGCTGCGGGATTCAACTTGGGAGTACGTATCTCATTTTGATTGCATGAAAGTCTGATTTAAGGGAAAAGTTGACAGAATTTTTTGAAAATTTTTTTATCGTGTTGTTGAATTAATAATTACATAAGTGATTCAGAATAAAGTTTTTAAAAATCTATTACTTGACTTTAGCCAGTCTACGTGTCTACTGAAATAGGTGGAATTGTTTTTGTCTTGTTTTATGATCATTGTGGAAGAAATTTGATCACATTTTCCCATGTCCTGGATAGACCGAATAATGCTAGTTCAGTGACAGGTTTTAAAAACTTCAATACTATATGTGAAAATAATACTGGATGACTTAATTATCTGCACAGTCTTAATTTCTTATTATGTTTAAAAGCTAATAAAGAGCAAATATTATAAATAATGATTCAAGTTGGGCAAATCGAAGTCACTTTTTTTGTGTAAAGACTGTAAATTAAAGTGAATAGCTAAATTATTAAATTATCTAAATATTTAACCTATTTAATATGGAGAACTGTGTATTTCCCCCAGGGTGACCCAGACCACCCCATCTGCCCAGTGATGTTGGGGGACGCTAAATTAGCAAATCAGTATGCTGAAGAAATGCTGTGTGAGTAGAAATGAAATGATGATGCAAACAAATATTGTTGATTTGTTTTAATTTACTAGTTCTTATTTAAAGCAACCTTTGGCTAATAGGAAATTTCTTTGATTGAAAAAATGTACGTGGCATTGAAGAAACTAAAATACTGAAGCTGTGTAAAATAATTATTTTGTAAATAATTTGATCATGTTTTCAGCAAGAGACATCTATGTTATTGGGTTCAGTTACCCAGTGGTTCCCAAGAATACGGCCAGAATTAGGGTTCAGATATCTGCTGCTCACAGCGAGGAGGACATTGATAAAGCCGTGGATGCCTTTGTGGACATTGGACGCAAACTGAAGGTCATTCCATGAGATGGAGTATGGAATTGGGTCTACCCAACTACCAGACTGGTTGATCAGACCACACTACCCGTTTTCAAGGTGTGTGTCAGTACGCGCTTTGGCGTATCAGATGCAACACTGCTCTTGCCTAGTACACGTTGTGATAGCAATGCTTTTGAGCTGGGTTGGAAAGTAGTGCATTTCATCTCAAAATTTGTTTGGGGGTATGATACTGTGAAATGCGCACATCCTGAAAACGGGTAGTGTGGTCCTATCTCCCAGTGAATGCAGGATCATTCTGTGTCGAGTCTGGTAGTTGGGTAGGCCTGTAACTCTTACACCCCATTTCCATAGATTTTTAGATCGATCTTTCCCTGTGGGGAGTCTCACTAGATTACTGTCAGCTTGGCCGGCTTAAGCGTCTGTCCCGCCTACTAAAAGCTGTAAGTGGGTAATTAACTATGGTGCGCCCTCGTCTGACTGCAATTTAGCGTGAACCCCCAGGGAGTTAGGTCGATCTAAATTTTAATTCCTGGATCGATCTAAATCTCTGGAAATACGCCCTTAGATGATATCTGTAATGTTTTAAGATACCTTATACCATAAAAAGTAGAGACTAATTGGATCAACTAGTATATTCATTAAAAGTGAATTGTCAAAAGGAAAAAGAATCTCTAAAAAGTGCCATTTGGTATTTGTAGCTAACTTGTTGAACCCATTCCAAGTGTTTACTTCCAATTTGATACATGACCATTCCCTGTATTGTGTTAAAATATTTAAAAGATGTCACTTCAAAAAGATCTTTTGGATCAGATTATATCTTGAAAGATTGTCAGATGGATAAAGGCATTTTGGCATTAAGATAATCATGTTAAATCTAAAATTACCTTTAGGCTTTTGGTAATCATGTATTTAAAACTCATTCCAGATAGTTTACTTCTTGTTGAAAATTATGAATCATTCCATGTTCGGTTGGATTGCCCAGGCATTGATCCTTTAGCTCATTCTTTTGAGTTTGTTAATTATGCTTATTTAATTATGTTGAGTTTGTTAAATCTGATGTAATGACGATCTCTTTTTCACAAATGAAACTATGGCAGCTATGTTTTAAACACAGTAGCATAATAAGAAACTATTTTATGCTTGAATCTTGTATTGAAAAATTTATTTTTACTGGCAGTGGGTGTATTTAAGTGTATTTCATATTAAAAATAGGTTTTATTGCCAATTTATTATAATACATTGAAGCATTGAATCTCATCTTACATGTACTACCAAATCAGTTCCGTGTTTATCAGAGAATGAAGGACCATTTAGTTAGCTCTGGAAAAATATAAAGCATTCCTGTAAAACCATCAGATTAATGATATAATATTGTTTTCACACTTTATGGAAAATTTGATATTTTGCACAATCTGAGCTAAGAACTTATTGACAGGCAGAGAATTTTGGCCATAGAAACATATGGACTGAATTTTGGTCTCTTTGTTAGTGGAGTGTATTAATATTGTGAAATAAAAAATTTCTTCAAGTGCATTCAGTTTGTGTACAAGACTTTATTCATGGGTATTATATAAATAGATGGTCAATGTTAGCTTCTAACCTGAGTCTATTTGTAATTTTGCATGCAAGTTTAAACATACTTCTGTGTCTTAAACAAGGCAGTAAGCTGCCAAATGTACAGACATATACAGCAGATGCACAAATAAGGTTCTTTTGTCAATTTAAAGCAATATTACAAAATCCTTAACAACATTATCACCACCAATTTTCATTATGCACAACAGTTAACATGGACAATCAAAAAATGTTTATATCATATAGAACCTTAGGTTCATAGAATTTCAAAACCACAAATAAAAAATGCAGTGTGGGCAAAATGAGAAGTTAAATAAAAAATAACTGCATAATATCTTGAGAAAAAATTTCATCAGGCTGCTTTTCCAACTTAAACTGCATTTTACTCATAAGAATCATTCCTTTGAGGATAGTAACACAGTTTTTCTTTCATACATACTGTTTTACAGAGGCATTGCACGAGATAAGATTTTGGACAATTTTAATGCAACATATTAAAAAACAATGCCACCATTTTAAAATTTTGTGATGTTAGTAATGAACTTTACACACTGCGCGTGAGCATATATCACAAAAGTTTCACTGGTGAAGACCAAAAGTGCATAAATGCTGGCTGGGTACATGTCAGCACATTGATTCTTACATTAGACAACTTTTAATGTATAGGTACCCAGTATGGTGGACATAACAGTTCATAGTTCGGCCATTCTCAAAGCTGAGAGGCCAGTATTTTCAGAGTTACTTGCATTTCTCAACGGAAAACAATGGGACAGGCTGCCATCACTTATCGCGCCGAACATAACCATGACATTACCAAGGACAGAGTAAAACACAAAAATGTTCCAAACACACTTGGGTGTCGGGGGGCGGCTGTGCCTGGTATATTGGGTTCCTTACATGTAACATTGGCAGGTGCAGTGGGACACATGCTAATTAACGACTGCTCCCTCCCCGTGGGGAGCTGAACATTGGTCAATCCACACAAATCTACGATCTTCTGAAAATTTGAATCGCTTGCGTCGAAAGCTACAGAATTCATAACGCTTAATTCGTGAAATATGTAAGACCCGTCCGCATTTTTCTTTAGCCCAATTATGTACTGGTTCCCCTCGGATATTTCAGTCCTGGAACACGTATGTCGTGGGCTGACCCTATCAATGGTAATATTTTCAGGAAAGTCCCCTTGCTCCGAGTTTTTGTAGATACAGAAGACGCGAAATATTGCGTTGGTTTTCTGGGGCGTCTCGGGGTATTGCGACGTATCATTCAGTTCGTAATGTCGGACGTCTTCCCCATAGACAACGATGTCTGCCTTGGAAAGGACCTCCGTCATGTCCCAGGTTCGGGGAACGCCCACTACCGAACACGAGTCTGAGCACTGGAGAACAGCACACAACAAGACGACCAGGAAATGTAACACTAATGACGCCATCTTAATTAATTATTCTCGTTTACTTCTTCATGAGCCTTGGCGCTGCCTTGATGTCAGATCTTTACATGCTCAGGTGTAATATAATGTTTATTTATCGATCCTTACCCCATAGGTGAGAGTGTATGCGACTTGAAGCTTAAGGTATTTCTGTCATCAGTTGTGATCCAAGGGTCCTGTTGGTTGTCATAGACGCCCTTCGACCTTTTCACCTTACCTTACCTTGACAGCCTCGTTGTAGGTCGGTCGTGTACCTCTGGTAAATTTAATTTTAAATTGCCTTTTTTATTAGAATCAGGGATAAGCCGGCCGTGTGTCTCCAGAAACTTTATGCTAATTACCTTTGATCAGCCGAGGACCGGCTTGGAGGACAGTTAAGGTGATAACGATCAGGGGTACGCCGGGCGCGTGCCTCCGGCAAACTGATCGTTCAAGATTACCTTTGATCATCTAAGGTGTTTACAGTCAGGGGTACCCCGGTTGCGAACCAATGTTTGGAGTCAAGTATGCTGAATATAAAAAAGCAAGTATTCTCTAAGGTTATCCATCACTCTAACCATGCCTGGAAAGCAAGATGGATCGAGTATTCTCATCTTAGGAGACACATCAGGCGGTTGCAGGACGACCATTTGCGAACCCCAGGTGAACATACGTTACTGTCACAAACGCAAAACGTTCAACTCTGAAACGTTTTACTCATTTTGAAAATTCAATCATCGCTATTTTTGGTCTTTGATTTATCTCCTACATGTATAACATATAAAATTATGAT